CACACACACACACGCAATGTTTAAATCATCAAATGTGAAACGTAGCAGTTATGTCCATATCTATTTTACACACACACACACGCAATGTTTAAATCATCAAATGTGAAACGTAGCAGTTATGTCCATATCTATTTTACACACACACACACACAATGTTTAAATCATCAAATGTGAAACGTAGCAGTTATGTCCATATCTATTTTACACACACACACACAATGTTTAAATCATCAAATGTGAAACGTAGCAGTTATGTCCATAGCTATTCTACACACACACACACACACACACACAATGGTTGTGTGCTAATATGATGCAACAAAATACATTGAACGGTTTAAATCATCAAATGTGAAACGTAGGAGTGATATCCATACGCAAGGGCAAGGACTTCGACTTAATCAAATGTATGGTTAAAACTCAAACCCAGAGACAGTTTATTATTTATTTATTAATTCATTATTATAACTAGCCGAGGGTACTCGTTAAGTTAGGTATTTTTTTTTTTTTTGTTATAAAGGTCAATGTCTCCCTTCTTTCTTTTGTTATTAAATTCCAGTTAAAAAAGTGAAAATGGGCCCTATTTCAGGGTATATTTTCATCACATTTTTCATGCAAAATTTCTAAAACAAAATAGCCCATGTACGTCGTCGGACGTTTCCAGTTATCATATCAAAAATTACGAGCCAGCCAAATCTGGATGATGGATCATCTCTATAAATTATAGTAAAACCGTGTTTAAAATGACACCGTTAAAAACGATCTTATAACTGAACATCAAGTAAAACAGAAATGCAAAAATTCACACAGGAGAAAACAAAATTGCACTAACAGTAACATAAAATAAGCCGACGTTTCATAACTTATAAGCCTAAAAATGGTTAAATGTTAAACATAATAACAAATATATAGATATTATTGCCGTGTGTATAAAATTTGCGTACATGATTGGCGTATGTATAGCGTCAGCCAAACTATATACAAAATTACAAGTCGTTATATTTGTAAATTAATTAATAAGTATAATTTAATCTAAAACTAAGTAAAGTAACGAGAACGTTATGTATCAACTGTTTAACATTCACCTCATGCGTAATCAATCAAATTAATCTTTGGTTTATGAGCTAGTATTACTATTAATATTATGTCATATTTTTGGTCGTTAGAAATAATCACAATTAGTTAGTCTAATTAGTGTATTTAAAACGTTTTATACTGCATACAAACGCTTAGAATGAAAAATATTAAAGTTGAAGAAACACACCCAGATCACGGTTCATTATCTTCCAGATCTCTAAATTGCATTTTACTTACACTTTACAGCATGATTGGGTGTACAGAAAGGGTCCCTAAATAGCTAGCTCATCCAAATACTGTTCTTTCTACTGAAGTTGCAGAAAAAATCTGTATCAAACAGTCGAAATTGGACCCAGTTTTCTCTTCAAACCAAACTCAGAATTAAAATCTGTAAAGTCTAAACTAAAGTACAATGTTTCATCTTTCACTTTCCTTTCTTATGAAAAAAGTTAAAATTTGACTGCTGTGCAACACTCAGTAACGAAATCCGCTATTGTAAGTCAGCATAACTCCTCGGAAACTTGTGACAACGTTCTTACACGACTTAAAGAAACTGTCAGTACAAGCCACACGCTCCAAAACTCCGCAGCTGTGGAGCCAACCTAAGGCTGATCCATTAGTGGTGAGGGGAGATCGTCCGGCAAGAATAAGTTGTGTTGTTTAGTTTGAAACGTGCTAGGAAAATTACACAGTATCTGTGTGAATGAAGACCTAATGTATTGAATTTCATATGATCAAGGATACTATAACAAATTGTCACGATAATTTTCAATGAAATTATGGGCCAAGCGTGTAAAAAATAATGTGACATTAAAAGGCAATCAATTAATTCACTAGCTTTCGTACAGTATATATATATATATCACTGTAATTGCCAGAAAACAGTTGCATTTGCATGCCAAGATTTTCAAGATTAAATTCTCCAGTGACCTTAGAGATCCAAACAATATTAATCGACTTTTGACTCGTTTAATTAGATCCTGCCAAACACAATTCCGTTTCTAGAACCTTGTACTTCCAAGAATTAGGGGCGTAGCTACCATTGACTCATCCGCCGGACGAAGAAAAAATTAGTAAAAGATTATATATCATTCAACGTATCGTCTTCGTTATAGCAGAGACATATACATCTGTTTGTATATATGTCTCAGATAACAGAAAAAACAAGAGAACTACAAAACATCATAAAAGGTGTCTATTATATTGAAGTTGGCACTGCAACATTAACCGACTGCTATGATATTGCGAATACAGAGTACAGATTTACACATACAGGGCTTATTGTTCTTAAAAGAAATTATATGATTTCTGGTTGATGACAAGAACGTCGGCGCATAAAATAACTTCCTATTTTACAAAACTCGCACCGTAGATAGAAATCAGCAAGCATTACACTGAACTAGTTTCATGAGAAAGTAAGCTCGCTCACCCTTCAACATGGTAGGTTTGTAGTTGTTATGTTAAAATGTAAGGTCGCTTACCCTTAAACATGGTAGGTTTGTAGTTGTTATGTTAAAATGTAAGATCGCTCACCCTTCAACATGGCAGGTTTGTAGTTGTTATGTCAAAAACTACTGCAAATAAAAAATGAATTATCATTGGCAGTCTCATTACAAACCAACGATCTTTATATTACTATTTATACTAGAATTCATAATTTTTGGTGATATCTATGATAACTGAAGTGTTCTTTTTATCACAGACAATATTTATTGAGGAAAATTGAAATGATTTCACTGTGGCTATTTCTTTCATCTTTATTTTCGGGATTGATATTCAGCTTATTTAAACTCTTAGGGATGCGCCCATTTTTCATCTCTTTTATGTAGGTTAAGATGCAGACAATGTTTGTTTTGTATCTAATCCAAAAGAATACTAACTCTTTTCAAACTACAATCCAATAAAAATCCAGTCAACTCAAATACTCGAACACATTGGTCTTACTTTACTGCAAGAAAAATCACCTGTCGACTTACTTGTAATCTTACTTTTTACTCAATTCTTAAAATATATATTGATTTGTTTTCTTACTTTCCTCAAATTTAGTTATAAGACCAAACTGCAATGCGTTTCATGTTTTGATAGACAGGATGCGACAAGTTTCATGCCATATTATCCATATATATCGGTAAACTTAAGAATTCACAGCTTAACATTTTTTATGTTTATACAAAGTTACCGCAGAGTTCATGGAAAACAGTTCGTAGACTTCAGTTCACAATCAGGCTCGAATTTTTCTTCATATCAACGAGTAATTTAAATGTATAATATTCTAATTGTTATGTAGATCATACAGCAAACTATAAGGTTTTTGTCGTCATAATGTTTTTCGAATCTTGCATTATTAATACATTGTAGTTTCTGTCGTACAGTTGCGAATTTTGACCTAGTTTCAAAAATCTGCTCGTAACAGATTTTCGCACGCAATGAATTATATATCTTGGATACTTTATCTGAAGCCATTTTAATTATCCTATTAGTAAGGACGTTCTCCAGTAAAATTAAATTGAATATTTTATACAGAAGATAGTCTTCGTTTTTTGTAGAGTTTTGAATTTAAATTACCTGTTGGAAAAACATCGTGGAATGAAATCAAGAATTCTTGTGTTGTATTCAGAAGCCTTTTACGTTCATTGTAGTCTCATTGTCTTAACTTAACCATAGTTACAACTGTAATGAGCATTGTATAAGAAGCCTAATGAAAGTCGCATTTGTATTCGACTATTTGGCAATATTTATTGGTTGAACTTGATCTAGCTCAAAATACCAAAAAACATATGGAAAACAAAACTAAGCTACAAACACTATGCACAACTAGCTGGACCCGTCTTACTGCTGCAATGACCACATTTAAGAAGTTGTAATTAACTCAATTGAGCATCTTCATGAATAGGGCGATGAGAAGACTGGGTTGCACCTTCGAGGTCTACTACGATAGGACTTTTTGATGGGACATGTGTTTGTGAAGCAAATTTTTAAAGCAACGTTTATATAAAATGTTTCCTGTAATACGTAGATATTCATCAGTTGCGCCAGGAAAGAGCAGATGATAACGTTTGGAATTCTTAATACCATGAAACTGTCAAGGTTGTTTGCAAAATCCTCAATCGATGATCTCAGATGCGTTGGCAGCCTTGTACAATGTAAGCAATTCTAATGTTACCCTTAGCCTCGGTTACTCCAACTTTTCTTACCATGCTAATGGTCATTCTAGCATGAAGCTGGATAGCCGATCACCCATACCTACAAAACAACACCAGGATTTCACCCCTTTCCGAATAGATAACTGCTTTTAAGACAGGAAACAGTTTATTTCATTCATGGACTTATAATCGCAATTCACAGCACCGACGTACTAGACCTAGTTTGTAGTAAAGCACCGAACTCTACTCGTGTATATGGAGGTACTGTGACTTTCCACTAAATACATTCGTGAAGTTCATTGTTAATGAGTTCAATTGGTTGCACAAGCAAATTTGACTGATAATTCCTACAGTATGTCCATCCTGAGGATGACAATGCCAGAACCAAGATCGGAGATGACTACTGCTTATCTGTAAGCATAATCTCCTTGACATACCTGGAGATTTTACTTTCCACTCACGTCTGGTCTATCGACATTTGCTAGAACAAAGTCAGTCTCTCAGTGTCCATTGGTCAGATTGGTGGGCTTACTTGGAGGGCCTAATGTACTGCGAGATCCAACACTATCAACCAGAAACGTAATCTATTGCCCCTGCACCCTTACAGATATATATCAAACTCCACCCAGACGTTAAACAAACCTTTAGGCACAAGCTGTCTGCCATACTCTCCCAAGTCAGTGACCAGGCCTGACTTTTGCTTTTTTTTTTTTTTGTTTGCCAGAGCTGTAGTAACAGCATTTTTTATTGATTGCTATAGGTTCTCCTGGATTTGCAGTTCTCTCAGTTGAAACTAATAGCTTTGACCGCCCTGCTTATAAGTAGTGTTTGGGTGCTATTGCTTCTCCTGCACCTGTAGAGCTATCAGCCAAAACTTATATTGTTGCCCACCTTTCTGTTCGGCAAATTAGGAAAAGTTCACTCCAAAATGACTCCGCATAACACACCCAAAACATGTTGTTTTGTTCTTATTTCCCACAATGATGCCCAGGCAGAGGTATCATTGACATTATCTGAAGCGTGAAAGTGATGAAAGGACAAGGATAGCTCTGTCTATTCACTGTAAATCATTGTAGTTGGATCGCAGTGCTGGAATGTGTTAGTGGTTGATTACCTCATCAGCATGGCTCTAGCATGGAGTGGTGGAGGTACCTAGATAGGGTAGGCCGAGAAGCGGCCACAGCAGCTGCTGTTGTAGGTTTTTCCCTCACCTATGACTGGTTTGAAGTTACCATTTCCTACATTGTCACAATGGAAACAGCTTATTGGTGCTCATTGGTTTACCTGGAATTCTCTCGAAGAACTTCTTGCGTCTACAGCTACAAAGAGATCAAAGACATGGTTTTAATAAGTCTCTCAAAAAAGCACCTCATTTCACCAACTAATTTAGTCATAAGTACTCCCACTTTTACAAAATACCATTCATTTCAGCAACTAACTTGGCCATGAGTACCTCCTCTTTTACAAAATACCATTAATTTTAGCAACTAGCTTGGCCATGAGTACCTCCACTTTTACAAAATACTATTCATTTCAGCAACTAAGTTAGTCATAAGTACCCCCACTTTTACAAAATACCATTAATTTTAGCAACTAACTTGGCAATGAGCACCTCCACTTTTACAAAGTACCATTCATTTCAGCAACTAACTTGGCCATGAGTACCTCCACTTGTACAAAATACTATTCCTTAAGTAAGAAGCAGTTCTTTAAAGATAATAACACAATAATTCAAGTAAGGGCAATACATGTGTTAGACGAAAACAGAAAATCCCACAATAATCCAGGTTTGAACCCTGGACACAGAAACTAAAATTTTCATTCCTACCTAATCTGTGGTATTTTCAGTTAAAACCAGTTTCCCGAAAGACTAAATCAGGTAGTTCTGTTATGTAATGGAAGGTTCAACATGATATACTGCAAAGTAATATTTAGTTCGACCAAAACTAGCAAGGTATGTGCTAAGAAATAAATGGACTGGACAGTGAAATAAACTTTCTGTAATTGACAAAAGGCAACAGTTTGTATACAGCAAGACTGGATAATGAACAGTCACCTTTGTTGTAGAGATGGATTGAACAGGATAGCTAAACTCCTCAAGACTTATTTCCAAGCCCACTGACTCTCTCAAGATGATGATTTAGATTGATTAAACTTCATGTTGTTATACTTAGTTGATCTGATAAGGGCAGACTTACACAGAGCAACTAGTGCTAGTAAAGTTACTGGCTATTCCCATTAAAACATAAGTGGGATTGTAACCTAGAGACACCACTTGACCTACAATTAGAGGGTACTGCTGCCAACATTCATCCACAAGTTACAACCCCTCCACCCATGGGCATACCAGTTGTTATCTCTAAGAAATGACTAGAACGAAATCAACATAATTACCCTATT